TATATATATATATATATATTAGCCCTACAGCAAAACAATTCTATAATATCTGTATAATCTTATAAAGAGGTCGCTTACAGTTACTTTCAACCACGTCTGTAATGTCTTTCACCTCTACAGGGTCTTTAAACCCATTTCAGATAATTGCTTCTGTTTTCCAGCCCACAGCTTTGCTCTCATCAACTTAGCAGGGAGCTATTTTCTGCTAAGAATGCTCTGTTGTACTCATTGTACCTGCAATAAAGAGCCCCAGATAGTTGACAGATGATGTTAGCTACTAGCTGGTGATCATAGAGAAGCTGCTAAAAAGACATAAAAGCTCCTCTGGAGTCAATGGAGAGCAGAACAGAGTTGAAAGGACAGAGAACGAGGCCCATGGCAAGAGACGTGTCTCTAAATGAATGCTAATATTGCTCTGTGTCTGCTGTGTGTCTTTCAAATCAACTGTGTCGTACGTTTGATCAAAGCATAGCTCAGTCTGACATTAGGCTGACTGGGAACCACATAGCAAATTGCCAACTAATGCAGTTGATTTGATTTTGCATTTAATAATAATAATTTCACTGCCACAGTGATCCTACAAATCACTCCACTGAGTAATGTGCAGCAACACGAAGAGTAAACTGAGTTTTAAGTTGTTGTTTTTTTATATCCTGTATTTAATCCAGTAAAGTTCAGTCAGGTCATCTGGATGGTTTCTTCTTCTTTTATTTTTGTTTTTGTTGAGCTGTTTCGTCCTTCATCCAAAGGACTTCATCAGTCCAAAGAGTCACATCAAACTCAGTCCCACAAGCAGCACACTCATTTTATAGTGAATCGACCAGTTTGCTAGTGATAAGATGGTTTCTGGGGCCCGCCCTCTCCCCCTGTCGACTCCTCTAGGGCAGCCATAGCCAAAATGGTTCAAAATAATGGCTGGACTATGGATGCCTGAGAGGAGTCGAGGGGTGAGAGGGCAGGCCCCGGAAACCATCTTATCACCAGCAAACTGGTTGGTCCATTATGTGGTTGTGCTGAATGTAGGACTGAGTTTGTTGTGGCTCCTCGGACTGATGTAGTCCTTTGGATGAAGGATGAAACAGCTCCAAAAAAAAAAAAAAAGAAAGAAACCATCCAGATGACCTGACTGAACTTTGTTGGATTTTTTACCTGGATTATTGAGCATGAACTTTGATCCTGTATTTAATGTTTTAAAATCAGACTGAAAAAAATATATATAATTTTTTTTTTCTCCCATCAGTTCACATTTGATTCTTCACAAAAGAAAAGTAAATATCCATCCAGATGCTTCAACTTCCTGTTTTTATCATCTTTAACAGCATCAAGCACAGTACACTATTCAATTTGATACATGCAAAAACGCTTAGAACTTAGGATTGCTGCATTATTATTATTATATATTTTTTTTTGCTTGCATTTTTTCTTCTATCCTGTTTAGTCTCCCAAACCTCTGTCTCAGAAAAACAGCAGCGACCCACAGAAAATCGGAACTTCTTTTACATTTTACTGTAGGAACGGCATTCCTCCAAACTTACAACGGAAAATTGTGGCTAACCTGTTCAGATTTTGTTTCTTGAGTGTTTAAAACATTTTATACCTAATAATTCAGTTCAGCTAAACAGAGAAACCCATGCAGTCTGTTGCAAGTTTGCTCATCCCCAGGGAGGGAATAGACAAAGGAGAATGAAGACTGAAGACTTTCTTTCAGAACAAAACATAAATATAAACTTGAGTAAAAACAGAACATTGAACTGATATCCAATGTCTGAGTAAAGATGTAAAACAATAAGATGGGATTTACACTAAAAATAGCTTTATTAAAGCTAACAAATGCAGCTTGGTATTGATACCGTGTTTATTACACATTATATGATTTTCTTTAGGATTTAATAACATGACATTTCATCACACACAGCTACAACACAGGTTAAGGTTGTCTAACTAACCTGTTGTAGTGCCCACTCTCATTCTGCAGGCTTTCCTCCACAGCACAGTAGATGGTGGTCTGTGCACCCTCTGTTGGGCTCT